TGGAGATCCCTGGACAAGCATAGCCTCTCACCCTCCCCACGGGCCAGAGCTTTCAGAACCAGAGAGAGAGGGCAGGGTGGCCAGCCGGGGGTCCTGGGGACACGGGCAGACCGGCTCATTCCTCACCGGCCCCCAGCCCCCTCCCCGAGTCCACCCGGACGCCACACGGGCTGAGTGCCTCGGTCTGAGGTGCGTGTGGGATCTGACGGTAACTTTCGGGTGCCGGGGCAAGAGCTGCAGGGGAAGGTGCAGAAATAAAGCTCGCAGTGCTGTCAGGCGGACCTTTTCCTTTGATGTCGTCGTCACATGTTATTAGCTATTTAGGCACAAGCTGCAGAGTAGAGAGAGGCTGGGGGAAAGGACCACTGAAACAGCAAAATGCAGCGAGCCATGGGCCGAAGGGTGTTTTATCTGCCCGGAACACAGCGGCTCAGGTCAAGGGGACAGCAGGTCCCCAGGGGTCCTGGCCGAGGTAGGCAACTCCCATTTCTGTTGCCATCCGGTGTGGCAGGGTCTGAGAGCCTGGGTTACATTCAGGGACAGAGTGAAGTCGGCTGCCGCACATTAAATCTCGGATGTTTAGCTAGATTGCTTCTAGAAAACACTTTTTAGAAATAAACTTCTTTACTTATACCAAAATAATTTTCTCAGTGCATTAATTTAGTCTCTTAAAGTAGAGAATATTGGGTCAGTATGCACTGAGTTTTTTTTCAAAGCAAAAATAGCATTTGTTTTGTTAGAAGGGAGAGGTCAGCCCCTACCCAAACTGGTGCAAGCAGCTATATGGTTATATGGTTGCATTCAGGTGCAGCGGGATCCAGGTGCACAGTCTGAGGGGCCCGCTGTTTCTCATCTCTCAGCCCTGTCTCCTGCCCTTGACTTCCTCTTCTCGATGTGGTCACCGTTGGCAGCTTGGAATTTAGGCCTAGCAGGAGAAGTTTTGGAAGTCTCTTCTCGACTGTTAACAGAAGTTCCGGATTCACCGTGACTGGACCAGCTGGGGTCACGCGATCCTTGCTGAGTTTGGGAACTCTGTGCTGGGATGGTCGGGCGAGGTCTCGTGTTCCAGCCCTTGTGTCACTGCATGGGTGGTGGACGAGCCGAGGAGAGAAAGTGGGTGTGATAGTGACAGAGGGCCAGGCAGGCTGGTGGCTAAGACAGGACACATCTGCCCTCTTCCTGAAAGGGCTGCAGCCCTGGGCTGTGGGGCGCAGCTCACAGGCGTGGCATTGTCCTGCCGGGCACACGCTGGGCAGGGCAGGTGGGGAGGTTGCGTCTCTTACGGCCGCCCCTCCCTTTGTGCCCCAGCAAAGTCCTCACCTCTGTTCGTGCAGGTTTGGAGGAGGGCAGTTCCTTTCCTCTTGGTGAGCGCTCTGTCTGCATTTAAGATGTTCAGCCTGGGGGCCAGGGATGTAGCTCAGTGGGCCCCCATCTGCCTTGGAAGTACAAGGTCCTGAGTTCAAGCCCCAGTACCACACACACGCAAAGAAAACAACAATAACAACAACAACAACAAAACACAAGATATTCAGCCTGAGAACTTTCTTTTTTCTTAATTTTTAATTTAAAATTTAAAAAACAAATTTTTTGTAGGGTTAAACCCAGGCCCTTCCCACTGAGCTGTACCCTGAGCCCTTTTTAACTTTGTTTTTCTTTTAAACTGAGATCATGTTAAGTCACAGGGTTGCCCAGACTGGCCTCAAACGGAATCCTCCTGCCTCAGCCTCCCAGAGTGCTGCGATTACAGGTGTGCGCGCTTCTTGAGGGGCACAGACCTGCTGGATGCCTCATGTCGGGGACCCCCGTGCCGTGCCTGGGACACCCCCATTTGTCAGACGCCGTCCTCCCCAGCTCCTGCCACCTGCTGCCCTGCAGCCCCCTTCACGCAGCACCCCCCATGCAGCCTGCCCACTCCCACGCCGGCACTCCCCGGGTAGCCCCCAGATTCCCCTGGCTTTGAGCCGTCCCTCGGGGAGACCACAGCCGTAGCCTTTCCCGCCGACCGGGGCGCCCATGCTGGGGAAGAGCTGCAGCTCGGTGGTGCCAGAGGAGCAGGCCCACATCCCCACTGTCCTTCCGGCTGGCGGGTGCCACTCAGGATGCGCCAAGCGTGGGGACTGCCATGGTGGCCTGCTTGGACTCGCCAGCGCCATCCCTGCTGCTTGAGTGACCACATCTGGCGGGTGTGTGCAAGAGTGGGATCATTGAGGTGCACATCTGTAATCTCACCACTCAGGAGGCTGAGGCAGGAGGATCACAAGTTCAAGTCTAGCCTGGGGACTACAGAGTGAGCCCCTGCCTCGAAGGCAGGGGGCGCATTTCTGAGTCTTGGGTATATAGATCTTTTAAAATTAAATTCCAACGTTTAAACTTTGGCAGTTTGTGTTTCATTTGGAGGAGAGAAATTAAAACAGCAAGCAGCTCCCTAGAGGGCATTTCCTGTGTTTCTCGTGGTGAAATTCCTTGCTGGGCTCTGGGCGCTTTTCCCAGGTCCCGAGTTGGTGACAGCCTCCAGATGGTCCAGCTAGGCCACCCACCGGCTAGGAGAGCATGGGGGTCGGACCCTGAGGACCTGGCCAGCAGAGGAAATGCATTCACTATTTTGATTTTTTTTTTTTTTT